GCTTCTGAGAGAGAGTTAGGGGCTAAATTGTAACTAACCATGAACAATGCTACATAGTTTTTTGAGTTTGGGCTTTCTCACTGCTAGTTAGCAAATTACACTATCTTCTATGGCTATAGCTAATTGACTGTATAATATATAACAAAAAAAATTGTTCTTTCTCTTTGAGGGCGAGCATCAAAGGCTATTTCTTCTGGTGGTTACTAGACCTCCCGATGATGGATTTCAATTTTTGATGACGATTTTCTCATCAACGGTTATCAGAAATAATTTCTCTTCTCCTTCATACGATCAAAAAGGCGATCACATTGCTTCACGTCGCTTCACTATTACGGTGGTTCTCCAGTCCTCCGGTGGTTTGTTTCAACCGTTGGTTGTTATTCCAGGGGATCTCTCTCGCGAAGTATCTCCTTTCTCGCTATGGGAATTGTGATTGATGATCAGTTTCTAAATCGTTTCATCTTTTCCTTATTGGAAGTGATGATCCTAGTATTAGGTAATAGTGTGGTAAGTTTCATCGGAATTGTCAAAATTCTGCCTTTTATATCCATACTAGATCTTCAAGTTCAATATGATGATCATTTCTAAAATGAATGGTGGTGGTTTCCGGTGAGTTTTGATACTCCGCTGGTGATTTCTATATTGGATACGGTGAGTAACAGTGGTTGTGTTTTCACCATAATCGCCTTGATATGGAAAGAAACTCCATGGAGACCACCATGGAATAGAAAATGGTCTAATATTGAAGACATATCTTCTTTGTTGTATAGCTATTCGTACAACTATTGAGAATTGACAATTCCACTAACGAAAGATTCAATACATTGGGTTCTTAATCGAAGAATATCTATAGTTATAATTTTGGAATTGGCCAATGTAATACAACAGAAGAAATTAGTGTTTAGATTTTGGAATTTCATCTTTGGGATGATACAAAAAAATGAAGATCGCATTAGATCAAAGAATAAACATAACATAGTTGATATCCTGTTAGCAAATCAATGTTTAATGATTTTTCAATCTCTTAATTATGTTTTTGATCGCATTTGTA